TTTAATAGAAAAAAAAAAAAAAAAAAAAAAAAAAAACACATCTTAGTAAAACCAATACCTTCTCAGCTTCGCATCGAAGCTAAAAACATCAGTGCTGCCGAGTTTTACAGGGCGCCTTGAAAAGTGAATTGATTTAAAACGAAACGAAATTATTGATTGATTTTCAAGATGGACAAAAATAAATGGATATTTAATTTAAATGGATTTTTGATTTCTTTTAACTTGGGCAAGAAGATGAGAAGGTATTGATTTTACTATGTGTGTGTGTTTATTTTATTTTATTTTATTTTTTTGAAATATTCAAACTATTTTCCTTATAGTGTTATGTCCCATGTTCTTTAACCAATCAGTAACAATATCGAAAATGAATGGTGATATAGAAAATGTAATTGCCGCCGATTTGAAATTAGGAAAAATTGAATTGCTATAACAAATGTTTATTCGTGTATTACACTTAATGGTGGGCATTAACTATTAGTTAAAAAGTTAATTTTCTTTTAACTTTTCCACATGACTAGTCGATTATTTTTCTAATAAACTTTTCAACTTGACTGTTTTATTTTTACATTGAAATAACTTAACTCTATTCAGTAGAAAATGTCATTGACATGAAAAAATTAAATCCTGATATGGTAAAAGATCTAATACCTATGATCATTGGTCATAGGGCTAGATTCGTGTCAAATCTCGAACATTGGCGATCAATAATTTCAGAAACCCGAAATAATACTGTGAAATAATATTTAAAAATCTTTAAATTATTTATACATTAAAATATCTTTAAATTTTGGTGGCATAATGACCAATATTCAAAAAAAATAAATACATTTTATCATCGCTTTAATAAAATTATTGAAAAATTATATTCCTAATCTAGCGATCAAGCATCGAGTTGCTGCTTTCTACACCAATTTATGAAAATATATTAACGAATCGTACTGATAGTTATAGCAGTTTATCTGAGGTAAAATAAAAAGTTCGTTATTTTTTATTTTATAGAGGTGATATAAATGTGATGAGTTTAAGTGAATTTTTAACTAAAAAACGGTAGCCAAGTGGGATCGCGGCTAAGTATGGACGTAGTTGAGACAAATATAGATGATATCTGACAGTGATTAAAATCACTATCATAAGAAATGCTTTGATGCAAATCTGTAGATAGTGTTTAATTTTAAGAAATTGGTAGATTATTTCAAAAACAACAATAACTCTTATTCTTTTAATTGTACCCCGATTAGTTATTTGATTTATAATTATAATATATGAATAAATAATAATTATAGTAATTAAATTTAGTATGAAATTGATATTCAATCATTTAATATTGTAATTTTTACAGAGATATTATAAAAATAATAAAGTAGTTGTATATTTCCTTACTTTTAACACGTATAAAAATTTAAAGGGCTTGATGCAATACTTTTTAATAAAAAATTTTTGTTATTTATAACAAAGTTATAAGTTTTATACACTGGACTACAAGGAACTTTCATTAGAAACAAAAATATATTTTTCTAAATCGACTTTTCGCGATGTTTTCAAATGTGCAATTAGACTTTTTCTATCACTTCTAAGTTTTAATTTTATTAAAAAAACAAGTATTTACATATAAAAAATTGTTTTAAATTAATACTGATTTTGATTATTAATATGTTAAAAATGACATTTAACCTATTTTAATAATCCTTTAAAGTTGATTATTGTGAAAGTTTATAGTAAAAAAATTAATTTTTTTTACTATAACTTTTAGCTCAATTTGCAAGTTTGAAATTGACATCATTAAATAGAAATTTTTATGAGCATTAAAAAAATTGTATCGTTAAGATTAATATGCAGTCAGGAAATTTTATAATAACTTTTTATAGTAAATTTGAGCAGAAAAGCTCAATATTTTTTTGCATTTTTATCGTAATAGATAACTTAATTAGAAATAAAAGTAATCGTTATGTAGTAACTTTTGTTTAAAAAGATTCTATAATTGAAATTTGAACTGAATTAATTTTAATGATTTACTTTTACTGGAATAATCCGAAATATCAAAAAAAAGTTGTTAAAAAGATCTAACAATCATTTTTTTTAGAAATGATTTATATGGTGACATGATGTTACCAAAATATTTGCATTATTACGGTCTAGTAGTTGGTACGCACAAATAAAGTAAAGAAATCATTAAATTACAAAGTAAAATAATATAATTTTGTGATTGAAACCTATTGTATCGAACTGGATTCGTCAATAAATACTTTGAAAATACATTATAAATTAATGATTTTAATTGTCTGCGCATCAAAAATTAAATAAGTGTATCTTTCTATGCTATATCAAGTTGATTTATATAATATTTATAAAAATCAGTGTACTCCCCTTATCAGGTATTATAAAATAAAATACAAAACCCAGAATTTTAACACAAAAATAGCATATTTTTAAACACGTTTAAATAAACCCTATACAGCTTTTAATGATATTAATGAATATTTGTAATTTAAGTTAAGTTACTACCAACATTTATCAAATTAGCTTCTTTAAAAAATTTGTATATTTTTATATATAAGTATTTTTTATGATTAAGGAAAATACATTTAATACCCCAAAACTTTTATTCTATTTGTACCTATGTATTCACCTCTGAGAATTTGCTGTTCCCAAAAATTTCAGTCTTAAGTACTAGCTTATTATGTTTACTGGGAAATCCGACACTGTGTGCGGTTGTAATTGGGTATAGAATCCCAGTTCACCACACATTTATTAATTATTAAATTACTTATAACAGTCAATTGAC